ACACACACACACACACACACACACACACACACACACACACACACACACACACATACACCCATAACCTGCATTCCCCCCTTCTTAGACCGCAAGCACATACCCACACAGAAGTCTGCCTCTTGCTTTTCACTTACAGTAGATCTGGGAAATCACTCTTGGTTTTCTTCTTCTTCTTTTTTTTTTTTTTTTGGATTTAGTCCGCTGTTCCGATGTTTTGAAACAGTATCTTTATTACTAGTCCTGATGTCATCTAGTTTTCATTGTGATTATTCCGTTCACCCAGGAGTTATTTAGAAGGCTGTTTGCAAAATGACACATCTATTTTTCTAGGTATTTTTAGAGCTGATCTCTAACCTGACTGCAGGACGGCAGAGAATGTGGTTTGAGTATTCGTGCTTCTTCGAACTGTGTGCAGGGCAGGTTTACAGGTATTTGTGGTTGGCTTCTTTCACTGAGCATAATGCTTTCTACTTCACATCCATGCTGTCTCATGCGTCAGCCCTTGGTGATCTTTTGTGGCAAGTGCCAGTACATGAAATGGCTGTCACTCGTCTGGCCATTCTCTAGCTAATGAACATTGGAATTGGGCCATTATGTTTTGAGCCATTAAGAATATCGCTGCTGCAAACCTTTGCAGATAAGCCTATGGGCCTGCGATTTTAATTGGTCTGTGTAGCCACTTGGGCGGGGCGTCACTGGGCTGTGTCCTATGTATGTTTAACTGTACAGGAAGCCGACAAACTTCCACAGTGACTGTGCCATTTTGTATTCCCACCAGGCAAAGTAAAGTTTGAGATTTCTACTTGGCGGGGCCTCATCACCTCATTATTGCCTGTGTAGTTCAATTGTAGCCATTCAGAGCCTGTGGAATGGAGTCCATTAGCATACCCCAGTGACTCACTGGAGTGGCATGTCTTCATGAGCCTGTTGGCCCTTCTCTGCTGCCGGTGAGCTTGTGCCCAACTCTTTCCTTGCTTCCTCCTGGACAGCCTCATTATTAAGTTGTGTGTAGAGTTCCTGGTGTATTTTGGGTATAACACCTTTCTTAGACATCTGCTTTGCAAGTACTTTCTCCCAAACGGGCTTGCCCTTGCATTTTCTTAGCTGTGCCTTTGGGAGAGCAAAGGTTTTGGATTTTGCTGGTCTAGTTTATCTTTTACTTCTTTTCCTCCTACAGCTTATGCCTTCCATGCTCCAAAAAGTTTTTGCCTGACCTAAGTTCACAAAGAAGTTTCCCCGGGGCTTTTCCAGGGTGTTTCTCTAGGACTTTTGCAGTTTCAGCTTTTATGTTGAGCTGACCATGGCAGACCAGCCCTGGGCTGTCCCCCATTTCCACCCCTGTCTTCACACCCTGTGTAATCTCCTTAAGTTCACAGCCTGTGAGACCTTGAGGCTCCTCCAGTTAAGCCTTCCCAGGCTCCTGACCCACAGAAACTGAGAGATAATGCCTGCTTACAGCATTAAATCAGTTATGCAACAATATAAAATGAGCAGTCTGTGCTTCAAGTTCATTTTCCGTGCTGTGTAAAGTAAGGATCAAGGTTCACCTATTTTTCTAGACGATAACAACTCATCCAGCATCGTGTGTGGAACATACTATCTTTTCCCTGGTGAACGGCCTGGCTACCTTTCCTGCAAGTCAGTGGACCTTTTGTGAGGGCTTCCAGAAGGTGGGCCTGATGCCGAGCCCCCATCTCTCCATTGCGTGATGCATCATCCAAAGCCCTGCCCTCTTGATCACTGGAGCAAGAGCATGGAAATGGGCTGAAGTATTCCAGCGTTGCTCTACATTTTCCTTGAAGATTAGGTTGAGTGTTCTTTGTCCTTGAGCTGTCCATATAAATTTTAGATTCTTCTTATCAATCCCTACAGCACAATCCATTGGGTTTGGTAGGGATTGCATTGAATCTGTAACCAAGTGTTGATACCCAACTAGCGAGTGTTCTGATCCTTGAGCGTGGCTTATTTCTCCATGTGTTTAGGGCTCCTTCACTTACTCTTTGCAGTGCTGTTTTAGTTCTCTGTGTATAGGTCTTGTTGAGCATTTATTTAATGTAGCCCTGGATTGAGTTCGCTTTTTTAATATTGCAAATGATGTCTCTGTACTTGCATGTCCACGTGGTCATTGCTGACACAGCCACAATGAATTTTACGCTTGCCTTTGCTAGCACGCAGCCTTACACATTTGCTTACTAGTTCTAAGACGTTTCCCTGTAGTAGTCAGGATAGCTCTACATGCACAACTATGTCTGCACATTCAACTTTAGTTCTCCCAATATGTTGTACCTTTTATTCCTTTGCTTGCCCGGTGACACAGACTGGGGCCTTTAAAAGGCAGTGGGTGCAAGCAGAGCTAGCAGCCAGCCTTGCCTTGCCCCCGCGGCTCGCCGACCGCTTTGACCCTTGCTGAGTCGAGGCAGTCAACGCTAGTTCTTGGTAGCAGATTGGTTTACCTAAGTCAAGTGAAGGAGAGTGAGGCACTGGGGAGGTGTGCGCCAAGGCTGCCCGCCCCCTTCAGCAAGACCTGGGGGTGAAGAGGTGGGCAGGGTGGCCAGCACCATCAGCGGCACTGGGCGGTGCCTGCAGACTGCCTGCGTCACCCCTGGGCCTTTGTGGCATGTTACAAAAAATGGCCGCCGGACCCCTCTAGGTGGGGGTTGCTGTGATGGAAGTCTGGGCCAGAGGGAGGCGCCCCAGCTTCGGGGTACGTCCATGTGTTTCAAGTGCCGGGACACAGAGGACATTGCAGGAAATGCTTACTGGGGTTTCAGGTCTTTAACTTTTTACCCTTTTTGTGCTCTTTTCTCACCCAGCGGGAAAGCACCCTCTCCTGTTCACAGGCGCTCCTGACTGCTCCCTGATTGCCGAGAGTGTTTGTGTTTTTAACAGAATTAGAGGTGCGTGGAAGCCGGAGGCAGTACTCCCCGGGAATACAGCGCTGCACTCGGACTCGGTCTCTTCCACCAGCCCGTCGCCGTATCGCGCACGGGATTTGGGGGTCCCTTCCTCCTCCGCCGGAACAGCAGAGGTGCTCCTTCCCAAGCCAGGGGCGCTGGGACTGCTTCACCTGCTCTGTGATTTTGCTTCTGGTGCCTTTTCCTTGCTTTGCCTTTTTAATTTCTGCCTTTGTAAAAAAGACTGTTTCTTCCATAGCTACAGAAACGTCCCTGTGAGTAGCAGTGTGTGCTGGAAGAGCAGGGCGGGAGGGGCCAGGCTCCTGCTGCCTAGCAGCTAGGTGGCGGCTGCCCACGGCTGCCGGTCAGCCTGCCTGTGGGGCCACGGTCGCCTCCAGGAAGACGGCCTTGCCGCTCGGCTTACTCCGCCTCTGCCCAGCCTCCGCGGCTTTGAACGATGCCATCTTGCAGCCCCCTTCGGAAGCTCCTCCAGCACTGGCAAGCAAGGGGAACCTGCTCTTGTAAACGACAAACTTACCCCAAGTGAATGAAGATGTGTCCGGTCCAGCCTTTTCTGGAGTCGGGAAACCCTTGGCAGCCTCGGAAAGATCTCACTGCCTGCCGCCGTTTCCTCTAGCCGGTGTAGGGAAGGCTCGGGAAGCTGCAGGTCAAGTTTGGAAGTCAGCAGCCTTGGAACCTAGCCCAGTTTGAACTGCTCTTTGGAATGGCCTTCAGAGACCACGGCACCTTTGAAAAATGGCCTCTGTGGTGTCAGCTCTTTGAGTGAGGAGCTGGCATCTGGCTCGCGTCCGCAGTCATTTTGCAGCCCATCTATTCAGCACAGAGCGCGGGCACTCGCGCGTGGGGGGCCTTGCTTGTCACTTAAACACCGAGCTCTGCTAGCATGGACTCGGGGCCAGTGTCAAGACAAGAATTGGCAGGACGCTGGCTGGTGCCAGCCTGGCCCGAATCAGTGCACGTGGAAGGGACTGTTGGTGCCTGGTGCGTGCGACTGCCTGGGCGCCCAAGACGCTCAGAGTTGCCTCCTGTGCGTATTGGTTCTGTTTTGGCTACTAGGCATCACACGGAGCTGGAAAAGATTCTCCCATCATTCGAAGTACATTGCAGTGGACAAGTAAGGCAGGGTGATGTACTTACTCAGCGCCTCTCGCAGTGGCTTTGGGGGGAAACGATGGTGTATGCATAGTCTTTGCAGCCATCACATCACATTACACAGGCGTGAAATGCCCGGAACCCCCCCCCCTTTTGCCTCCTTTGTGTGACGGAGGCGGCATGTCCCCATTCTGACTCGATCCTCCGTTCAGCAGGTAGCAGGGCCGGACAGCCCACCGCTGAATGCTTAGATCCCATTGGTAAGCAGCTCGGAGCCTACAGTAGGGCTCTGACTGGAGCGTGTCACGAGCTCAGCAGGGCCTGAGAAAGGCACAAGCCATGTTGTGCAGGCACTCAGCATACACATGTAGAAGATTTTAAGGTACACAGAGGAGTCATTGACATAAAGGCAGTGCTGGGGCTTTTGGGTCAACAACCCAAGGGTAACTCCCCACAGTTGTATAAACTGGTGAGGTGTGCTGGTGCTCAGTGGGTTGGTGTGGTGCCCTCAGGAAGCTCAACTCTAACTGAGAGACACCCACTGCCAACGTGGGATCTACAGAGAAGTGAGGTGCACATGCGTGTGTGCCTGTGTGCCCTGGGGAGTCAGGAGTAGCCTTGTGTCTTGAGGCCTGGTGGTATAGCACAGCGTCTGTTTGCCTGCTGGTGAAGCACCTGAGGGGACAGGCCCAAGTGGCCTTTTCTCCTCTATGTTCTTCTAGAAAGTGCACATCTGCTTTGTGGTTCCTTCTGTTCTTCCCCTTCCACCACCAATTCCTAGTTGGGAGTTTTGTCAGTAATGTGCAGTCTCCTGGCCCTGCCTCACTGCCCACACCCAGAGCTGAGAAGGCCCTGGGAAGCAGCGAGCTGCTGCGAGCTGGCACTTATCACTGCCACTGCATGGCTGCTCACAGGTGTGTGCTGTCACCTCCCACCATTGCCCGTCTCGCTTTTGCTTGAGGAGAACTTTTGATTTGCACACTTACTTTGGCGAAACCATCCTCACAGGGGAAATAGTTCAGCAGAATACAGTTCCATCACGCTCATTCAGCCAGGTTCCCAAGCTCAGGAACTAGCTGGTGGAAGGGGAACTTGATCTTATTATTCCTATGTTAAAATGTTGTTTCCTGGCAGGTATTTGTTAGAAAACCCACCGGCGAATTTAATGATCTGTTTGAACATATGTGATATCATTACTAGGTAGTGTTTTAACACTAAAAAATAACGTGAAGGTTGTTGACTTTTCCAGTGGTTTGTTCAGCTTGCCACTTTCCGCTTCTGAAGCATGTCTGTGGAGATCTGTGCCATGGCTGGGCTCGTGTCACTGCAGCCAGCCAGCTCTGAAGGTGTGCCACTCGCTCTGAAGGGACCGCCATCAGCCCAGGGTCATCGTTACCACTGGGAAGAGCAGTCCAGGGTGCTCTGGACTCAGTCTGAGTTCTGTTGTGCTTAGCCAAAGGTCATTGCAGAATTCAAAGTAGAAGTGAGGGCATTGTGGGGCAGAGCCCATTTCTAAATGCAACACTATTTAATATTTTATAGTTCCTAAAGAATCAGCAACACAAAGGCCATTTGACCCTGAGATCTGATGTGGGGGAAGGAAAATGAGAATCTAATGCATGTGTATCACATGCAGACAATCAGCCACTCACTTTCATGGAGTGAGGGGGTGTTGCTCTGAAGTACATGGTTAGATGTACCCAAAAGGTGTCTAGTGTATTTGTGCCGCGTCGGACTCGTGACTGACGGTGAGGCAGGAGGCCCCGGCGTTTCCCTGTGCTGCGCGAGTGTCCCTTTCTTGACTGGAAGTGGGCACACTTAGCAATTAAGTGCTGTCAGGCTGGGCAGAGACTCACCAAGATGAGACTGGTCATGTTAGCAGATGCGAGTGGTGACGGGGATCAGCCACCCAGCAGTGCGTCTCTGCCGGCTGTGTGGGCTAGCGCCCGTTAGGGTTCCTTGGGGCATCTGTGGGAGGAGGAAGGAAGCTGGCACTGGGGTGCCTCCATCACTCCGGTGGTTTCCACTGCCACCTCATGACACCACGAATTAGGCAGTATCTCACCCGGGCACAGACAGGAACGGCTGTTGCTGAGTGGCTGTCATCATCAATCAGGAGGCAGAACTGGAATTGGAAACTAAACTGGTTTGAATGCAGAATCTTCCTTTTTTCAACGACACCATACTTTGGAATGATAAGTGGTGGGCTTAACTACATGTATTTTAATTTATTTGCTTTGCCTAAAGGTGGTTGGTTTGGAACTAACTAATTTAATACTTTTAAAGCTGGTTCTTGAACAGAAAACCTTTATGGTGCCCCCATCCCCGATTTCTGCGTGGCCAGCGGCCCTGAGCGCACATGCTTGGGCTTGGGCCGCTACGGACAGCTCTCCAGATGTTGGGTCAGCAGCTGTCTTCTGTCCAGAGGGTCGCTGGAGACAGCCCAAGGCAGCCCAGGCAGCAGCTGCCCCCAGGAGTGGCCGCTTGAAGGGCCTGGGGGGGGGGACGCCTCTACCGGCCGTTCTCCTGAGGACAGGCCGTGCTCCCCACCTGGCTGAACTGGAAGTGGGGGGCGTTTTCCATACAGAGTAATGTCTGGGGAAATATGTGATGAGGGATATGCCCTCTGCTGGAGCTCAGCATTCTGTTGTTTTTTTCCAGAACTGTGAACAGGGCGATACAGTCTGGTTTTCATGGGTGAAATCTGTTGTAGAACAGAACAGCGCCAGGTGTGGGAGTGTCGAGCACCACAGCCCTTGGGACTTGGCTCTTCCTCTCAAAGGAGACTTCCGAGTAGGGTCCCTGGGCAAGAACAGGGGTCTGGAGCCAGCCTTGCTGTGTGCACCCTCTTGCTGACAGCTGGCTTTTGTGGTCAGTCTTCAGACGTGTAGCTTCCCACGGCTGTCAGAGGAGCCTGCCGCGAAGACACCTTGAACTTCGCTTGAACATGAGCAGAGTGGGGAGCATGCTGAGTGAGGTGCACAGCCAAGCCGGCACTGTCTGTGAGCAGACACTCTGAAACGCCCCTCCCCCGGGCCCATGGACCACAGGAAGGGTGTCCTCCGCGGCGGCCTTGCCTGGCATAGGCCCTGAGCTGGGAGGGCAGCGTCTCTTTCTACTTCCGTTGCTTCTAGGGTTTTCAAGTCAGGTAACAACGGCCTACGTTTGTTTGAAAGTGCTTTTAGTTATGTGTTTTGCAGGTGTGTTGTGGAATCCTGGTTTTCACCTTCAACAGGAAGGGAACATAGTTTCTTAATCTGGAAGAAGGGTGTGAGGAAAAGGTGTTGGTATCTCACCGGAAATGCCCCCGGCAGGAAATATCTGTGGCATACACCCATGCTGTCCCACTGCCCCAAGCAGCAGGCCTGCAAGTCTTGCCCAGCCCAGGGTTGGGTCTGCTTGCATGAATTTCTGACTTCAGTGAACAATTGGGCAAATATCATCAAGGTCTTTGGCCAAGTCTTTATGGCTTATTGGCTGTTGGCTCATTGGCTGCAGTATCGGGATCCACATAGTGCATGCTGGGCGCTGGGCAGCTACCCCAGTTTAGAATTCCATGGAGTGGGGGCTTGCATTGGGGGGAGCGGATTATAATGCATTATCTGAAAGGTAGAAGTGGTAGAAGGCGGTGAGCGGAAAGAGGCCAAGACAGAGGAGAAGGCAGAGCAAGGCCAGAGAGCAACCCAGAGGGCTCCATGAGACCGATGCACACCTGTGGGGAGTTCGTTGGATTTGAGAGACAACCAAGGCTGTGTTGTGACTTGAGAATTTGGTCTATTAATGCCCATCATTAGAAATATTATGCCACTTTATTTGGGGGAGGTGGGGGCCCCAAAGACAACTTGCCCTGAGGAATTGCATTTTCTGAACTCTTTCCTGGCCTCGTACTAGGAAAGCTCTGAATGGAACATGGGTGACGTCTGATGTGCCTTTCAAACTCGAGACACGTGGAAATGGCGTCTCCTCTGTTGCAGCTGGCCCTGCCACTGACCCCCAAGGCAAGGGTCTGGCCACCCCTCCAGGCACTCTTGGCCGTCTTCTCTGTAATGGGGCAGGGCTGGGCTCAAGTCACCACAGAGGTTTTTTCACATTCAAAAATGATAGCAACTTGTCTTTGGTCACAGGCAGCATATGGAGAGGGAATTAAGTGTAGGTTTTCACTGGCGAGCCAACGTGGTCCAAGTTCAATGTTGTCATTGTCCCTTTTTTTAATAAAAGGATTGTAACTTGACCTGTAGGCGGGTGGAGGTAGCTGACTTCTGTAAACTTCACTGTGACTTCTGGGTGTCACTGGACAGTACTTAGGCTGGCGGACAATGTCTCGATGAAGGTGTGAGTGAGCTTGTCAGGCTTGGACGTTGTGCACAACTTCCCCATGGCCTATTGGAGACCTCATTCCATGCACTTTTTAAGAGAAGCTTGGTAACTAGGTTACCACAGGCCTCTTACTAGTCCTGCGGCAGCCGACGGCCTTGCTGCTATTGGCAGGGTCAGGACACACCGGTGTCAGCACTCAGTGATGAGCCTTTGCTAGTGACTTGCTAGCAGGCGCACTGGGCGCTGTGTGGCTGCCTGCCTGTGTAGTGCTGCACTCGTCCCACCTACTGACGCTGTAGTAAAACAGAGACAGTGGCGGCCGAAGCCAGCGAAGCTAGATAACCTGCCAGGGCTGAGCAGTGAGCTGCGGAGTCAGGCTTTGAAGGAAGTTGCTCCCGTGTCTACCCTCCATCCCACTGACTGGGCTTCTGAGTGTTTCAGGGATCATAGCGCGTGTCAGCAAGCTCACATGGATATGCTCCCTGGACCCTGGGGTCTCTCAGATTTGTATCTGACCCTCCTTTCAATAGTGGCAGTTTCTAGCATGGCTAGGGATGCACGTTACGAGCTAAGACTGCATATTACATGATTCTGTTTCCGTGAAGTGCCGAGAATGGGCCAGTCTGTACAGAGCAAAAGCAAATTCCTGGTAGCTTAGGGGCTGCTTTGGGGTGTTGGTTCTACGCCTCTGTGGATAGACTTAGAAGCCCAGAAAAGTGCACACTTGAGCAGGCTGACTTGACAGGGAGCGAGTTCTGCCTGTGGTAGATACAGGTCAGGGGGAAGAGGACTTCTCCACTAGATTGCTCCATTTTAAGTTGCAGTATTTTAATGAGGCTTGAGGAAAACAGGAAGATTCATCTTTCTTCGAATGTTTATAAACAGGAACAGGAAGGTGAACACTGGTTGACTAATATCTCCAGTGTGTAATGTTGTCATCTTATATTTGTTAGAAAACATTGAGTGATTATTAATTGTTCCATGTGTTAAGGTGCCTGGTGATTAAAACACACTGTCACTAGAGAAAATCCTCCCAAATACATCGTCTTGTTTAGGGAAGAGACATAACTTCAGGGTGAAATGTTTCCCTTGCTCTGTCTAGCCCACCTCGTCCATTCTTTTGCTTGGGTTTGAACTCAAGGTTCAGTTTTTTTCAGGGCACGCTGTACTGTTTAGTCTGAGTTTCATGCATTTTCAAGTTAACAGCATTTAATCTTTTTTAAAAGGAATTTCTAATTTTAGGCTGCGCTACCTCATAGCAGTTTCGGCTACTTTAAGTGGAATGTGCGTCACCGGCCACAGCTCAGCAGTGGCTCCCTGGTGGCAGTGCGTGGGATTCGTGAGCCCCTATTCAGGCTCACGCCATTTCACCAGGTTGTGGATTTTGTACACAACCTGCCATTCACTCACCAGGGTTATGAGTGCCAGCTGTGTGCCAACAGATGGCCCCAGGGACCCCAGCCTTGCCCCTGTACGATTGCCCTCACCTGGCCGTCTCCCTGCCTCTTCATCTCGTGGGGCATAGAGCCACGCACCTCGCCTTCGCCTTGCTGGAGGCCAGGGACAGCGCCGCGCAGCTTGGAAGTGTAGATCCCGCAGATGTCCGCAGCCACCTGGTTGAATGGGAGGCGCTGCACAAACCCCCTGTGATTTCATCTCTAGCTCCTCTGTCTCATCAGCTTCTAAAAATAAAAAACCCTCGTATTTTATTTAGTTTCTTGTTGTGGCTACCGTCTTCCCAAGTCTAAATGAATCCTTTCATGTGTACTGAATAGGGTACTTCCATTCATGTCCGGATTGTGATGAATATGCATTATTTACACAAAGTATATACTGTCCCTACAAAATACTGATTAAATCAAATTGTGCTAATTTGATTTCCATCAAACCCATGCCACTTTAGATTGCCTCAATTTGGAGAAAACAGAACTCTTAAAGGGCAAATAGTATGCATTCAGTTGTCTGCCCTTCCTGCCGCTCTGCTTGGCCATCTTGAAGCCGTCTTTCGCAAGTAGGTGTGCGGAGCGGTGGTCAAGCGGCAGGGCCTGCAGGCGGCATTCGCCGTGCAGACACAGCACCAGGCGTGTGCGCTGGCCCTCCTTGTGCGCCTGGCCACCTGGTCTGTTACTGCAGCTCTTCGGAGGGCCTGTGAGGGGCCCATCCCACGGGAGTCCCTCCCCCACGGAGCCTCCTGTGGAAACTCAGTCACGTGTTTCCAACTCAGATGTGTCTGCTGTTTGAAACTGTGTACGAATTCAGTTGATGTTGAATGTCCTCTTTCCTGCCAGGGTTTCCAGTATGGCTTCTGCACCAGCTCCAAGGTACAACTCTCACTCCTTGGAGAACGAGTCCTTCAAAAGGGTAAGTTGAGTATCTGAGTTTGCCCGTGTCCCTGTCTCTGCACTCCTGTTTGAATGGTGGGCAAGCCTCTGGGGTTTAGTAATGACTGACTTTTCACTCATTCCCATCGCCTAAATACTTTGATGCACATGGGTTGTTTCTCAAGCTGGTTCCAGAAAAGACTATGACGGCCTTATATGTAAATTATTTCACGAAATTTAATTTTTCGAGAATCTGTGTCTTATGGGCTGCTGCAGGTGTCCTGTTGACGGAACCTGCCACCCCTAGACCCGAGATCCTGCTGAGAGACTGCAAGGCAAGGCTACCGAGCTGGCTGTTGCACCTTCTAGACAGTGGCTTCATGTCTGTTTATGACAAACATTGGCTTCATGTCCGTTTATGACGAGCGCATCGCCTGACCAACACATATGTGACTTTAACAGAAGACGGCTGGCTGACTGTATTGAGGAGAAGCTCATGTAACTAGAGGGAGATGTGGAATCCATGTCGGGAGGGATGGATTTAAGATGGGCCTCCTCGTGGCCCTGTGTGGCTCTGGCGCATGTAGCCTTCATCCACAGGAAGGGCATTTCCCTGCTGCCCACTGCCACAGGACTGCCTGAGCGAGCAGAGGGCAGCTGCCCAGTGTCACTTCATTTCTGTTTCCGACTAATAAGGGGAGTTAAAGTGAAAGTGGGGCGGTTGTTGGCATCGGTGTTTCTTTCGTGAGGCACCTTTTTTTCTCCTTTTTCCCTTTTGTGGTGGCCGTGGGGGGTCTTTCCTATCAACTGTTAAGTGGTCTTTGTATGCTATGATAAGCCTCTCCTGGCACATTACAAGTCCTTGGCCTCATAGTGTTGACTTTTCGATTGTGTTTATGGTGTTTTGCTTTGATTTTGAAACGGGGGTTTAGTTTCTGTGCCATCGTGTCCCCCCGTCCTTCCCCTCCTGTCTTTGCTTTTGTTCATTTTGCCTTTTCCGCTCCCCGCTCCCCAGCATTACATGCGTTTTATTCCTCTTTAATATTTTGATGGTACAAGAACCACTTTGAACTGCGAGGAACTTCATGAAGCCATGTCACAGTCCTTGTGTAGCATTTTGCCCCAGTGTGCCTGGCTCAATCCCTTGCAACCCTGTGCCCGTCACCCATATCCACATCTTGTGCTGGTTAGGCTTCTCCACACCCCTCCCCAGATGTGGCCATGAAAGGCATATACCACATACTGGGCTGCGCAACGTACGCATCTCAGTTAGAGCCAGGCAGCGACACACGGAGGTGATGGCTTCTTTCCCTTCTTGTTAGCGTGCGAGCCCTGACACCGATTGGAACGCTGCCAGAAGTTTGGTTTTGCCCAAGCAGAAGAGCTAAACCCATCACAAAATGCAGCAGCACGCCCCTTTTGCACAGCTTATAGCCTACCTCCACGCTCAGCGCTCATTCCCTCGTTTCTTACTAGTTCACGTTTGTGTCTTCTGTGCGAGTTCCCAAGTGTGCTTGTGCATTTCGCTTCACTAAATAGTCGCAAAGCCCCAAGGGGAGTGACCCCAACTCCACACACGAAGTGATCGCCATGTGATTTTGGAAAGCAGCTAGAAAACATTTTGACTAGAACAGGACTGAAAAACCTGGCCAAACAGATGCTGTGACGTGCAGGGGCCTCGGCGTTGACCCGTGGGCTGAGTGCGCCACACCCGTCCTGTCCAGGTGCCCGCTGCCATTGCTTGCTGTGGAGACTGGACTCTGGGCTGCTGCCTGCCTGGCAGGGCTGCAGCAGCGATGGCAGGGAGCACCCGCCTGGGAGTGGCTCGAAAGCCAGCAGAGTAAAGCAGCGTGAGGAAGGTGTGTCAGTAGCTCCAGAGTTCGCAGACCCCCCCCCCTTCCTCTCACCTGGTTTTGCATGTGTGTGGGATCTTAGTAAAATGAGAAATCCGCTTGGGAGTGACAGTTGTTTTCTGGCCATGCAGACTCTGTCTTGTATTATTGTTCAGATAAGACCCATTGAGATGAAGTTTTCATTACCGCTCGTAACAATGGATGACTGAATATTTGACATCCGAAAGCTGCCCGGCCTCTGTGTATCTCTAGAACACATGTGGCATTTGCTTTCTGTCATGCTCCTGACCACTGTCAGATGTATAGAGTGCTTGGAAAGCTGTTTAACAGTTGCATTACAAAGTGTGTGCACATTCTTTCCTGGCTAAAACTGAACGCAGCTGAGGAATGTTGATACTGTGTCAAATCTTAGCTTGAATTTTCTACACTGGTAAATCTCTATTTTTCCTTCAACAAAATGTATGTTTGGGTTGCCTAACCACCTTCTGATGACACTGTTTTACTTCCAGACCTCCTCCAGAGATGGGGTTGATCAAGATCTCGGTGAGGCTGTCCCTCGACTTCCGGGGGAGATACGAATTACCGGTAAGGGGCTTGTGCAGCTTGGGTCTGAGGGGTGATGGGGGGCTGGCAGGGTCGCCCCAGCCCTGTGCCTGGAAAAGTCACATGAGGCGGGGCTGGCTGGCTTTGTTTAGTGCATTAATATGGACAGAGCCGTGTTAGTGGCCTATGCGAAGAGCCCTTTCAAGAGCTTTATGAACCCCAGAATAGGGACAGTTTTTCTCTCTGCACTTTTAGAAACTGAGAATTATTTGGGGGGAAAAGTGTGGATTATGTCCTTACCATAGCTCTCAGCACTCATTGTTTGAGGTTTTAAGAACAAAATGCTACTGAGGTTTGCCGGTCTGTGATGTGTCCTTTCCAGTGAACCACTTAAAGGCCTGGGCCCAAGTATTCTCTTCTTTGAGACATAGGAGAGCGTGAGCGCTTAAAATGGCTTTCGTTTGCCACAGAAGTGAATGTAATACTGTTGAGGTAACCTTTTGATTGGTGACTTACTTTTCATGATAAGTTCATGTTAAGAGGAAGGCCCCTGGAAGGGCCACCACATTCTGGCCCAAGACGCAGAAGTATGCCCTTCCCAGCCTGGTGCTGCTGTGGTGGGCATTCACATTCTGTGTCAGGGTCGACACCCTCCTCTCAGACTCCCATGTATCCCGTGATATCACGGTTGCCATGTGTCGGCGCCTTTCCAGTTAGTCAGCCGCGCACCAAGACCAAAGCACCCAGTCCGCACACTTGCACCCTGCGCCCAGTTGAGAAAGCCCCGGCCCGTGGCCCGCCCAGTGGCTGGGCTGGAGCAGAGAGAAGCCCTTACGTTGGAAGCCTGCATGCATCCAGTTTTGGTTTCTGTGTCTGCCAGAGCCTTAACCACGCAGTAACCAACTGGATTAGCAAGATGTGCCACCGGGTGTTTCTCATTAGCACCCAAGGAGAAAGATTTCAAGACTGTCTAAACACAAACACTGAAAGCCATTAATACATTGAAGGGCATCCTTGAAAGATTTACTTTTCTCACAATAAATGAATTCTCCTGGTTTAGTTTCTCTGTATGTTGGACTCTTCCAAAGAGGTCTTGTTCTCTTGGCCATCTGTTTTATATTACTGTCATGTTTGATGAGAGTCTAGCTAAACTCATCTCTGGACTATTAAGAAAAAGACTAGACTATAGAAACATCTTTGCTGCTGATATTACTCATTTATTAAAAACACGATGCTTGTGTGATTGGAGGTTGGCAAACCTCAAACCCTACCTGGCGGTGCTTCTCTGAGCTCGCCCTGCTTGAAGCGCCCTCAGGTTGAAGGAGCTCCAGTTACCTTCACCCCAGGGGGTCTCCTTCCCGCCCCCCAGCTGTTAGACCTTGCTTCGGGGTGACAGCAGAGAGGGCCAGCTCAGAGAAGCACCGCCAGGCCCTGGAGGTGACGTGCGCCCACTCCAGTCCCCGCTGCACCAGGCACAGTGATGCAGAGGTGAGGCCAGTGCTGGCTGGGCGCCTTTGCTCTGGCTGTTTAAATTGTGCTTATTCTTAGCCAACTAGTTTATATTAATGTTATGTATCTTGGTATATATTTCCATCACTTTAGGGTACTTTTTTTATCTTAATAGACAAAGAAGTTATTTACATATGTCCTTTCAATGGCCCCATTAAGGGAAGAGTTTACATCACAAATTATCGTCTTTATTTAAGAAGTTTGGAAATGGTAAGTAGACTCTAAGACCATAAAGATGACCCTACTGCTAAAGATATTGCTGAACTCTTTCTCTTCTACTCTGTGCGATTGACTAGATCAGATTAACATGGCCGATAGACTTGCTTGTCAACTCTTAATTTTTGGCTTATGCAAAGCTTGTTTAACCAACACCTGTATGAGTAGGGAGTGGAGTGAATTAAAGAATTAAGTTTTGTCCCTCGTTAGAGTGGAATAGGGTTGGTGACAGTCCCCAGGTGTGCTAGTTTGGAGAAGCAGAACAGTGGTTCTTTACCTGAAGCATAGATGAGGTCCAGCTGTGGGGCCGAGCAGATTCCCCAGCTGCCCTTGCCACACTGCATCAGAATGGCTGACCGAGGCCCTTCATGAAACATCTCGCTGCCCTTGCCACACTGCATCAGAATGGCTGACCGAGGCCCTTCATGAAACATCTCGCTGCCCTTGCCACACTGCATCAGAATGGCTGACCGAGGCCCTTCATAAAACACCTCGCTGCCCTTGCCACACTGCATCAGAATGGCTGACCGAGGGCCTTCATCAAACAGCTCGCAGGAGGCTGCTAATGTGAATTATGAAGGCACTTTCCAGGTGTTCAATTACAAGGCTCCAGCTTGTAGTTTAAAACTAGGGTGACTGTCCTATGGCTTAGTGCCTCCCGCCCATTTCATTTCACATCCACAAATGTTTGCCACAGTGTTTCAGGAACATTCCATAACTGAAATAATGACAGGAGAAAGAGATGCTCCAGAAGGGGAAGACTGAGAAAATAGCCTCTGTGGCTACCATAACATGGCCTGTGGTAGATGTGAGTAGCCGTTGGTCAGCCTGAAGAGGCAGGTGCATTTTGACGGGCAGGACTAGGGAGGATCAGGACCACTGGACATGCAGACTCACTGTCCAGTGACAGTGTCTGCACTGGACAGTGAGACTGTTAGGGGGTCTAACAAGCTTACTGCTTGTACTCACCATTACTGATGCTGGTTCTGATTAGATTAGCTTGCCTCTTTGGTCATTTTTACATGTTCGTTATTATATCCAAATGCTGAGAAATGCTAACTATTAGTCCTGTGGCCGTGGCCGCCTGCTTCTGTTGTCTGCAGAGCCACCCACGAGGTGATGACATTGGGCATTATATGCACATCTGTTCAGCCTTCTCGCAGGACAACTGGTTTTCCAGAATGTGAAAGAAAATTCTGGAAATTAACAGCAGTGAGCTGTATGTCTACCCTGGGTAACCATTGGCAGCAGTTCTAGAATTACTAATCATTTCAACATGATTTTTAAGCACCTAAGAAAGAAAGAAGCTGCTGGGACTGTTCTGGATATGTGTCTTGAGTACATCAGGCACGTGTCAGCCCCTGGTGAGAAACCTGGCCAGTGTTGGTGGCCCATGCCGGTGGAGTTATAAATTGTGTGTTAAAGGCTCGGCGCCACCGAGGGGGGTGGTCGCTGTGGTCTGGCTGTGTGAGCTTTCCCTCTCCGGTGTTGGTGGGGCAGCACAGAGGAGCGCACAGGAAGCTCATGGCTGATATGCAGAAAGTGCAACCTACGAGGCAGTGTGCCGGGTGACAGAATCAGGGTAGTGTGGCCTTACCCAACTAGCATGGTGGGGTGAAATTAATGTGAAGCTGTGTGTAGATAACATTTACTTCATAAAAGCCAGTCATCTCGCTAAAGGTCGGAGGAGGGCTATCTTAGTGGGCTGCTCACATGTGATTCAGGTACTCACAGGCTGAGCTATCAGAAGTGCAGCCTAGTGAGCACAGCCTGAGGTATCTCCTTCAAGTATGGGTGACACGTTTGAGGAGGGACATGACAAACTAGAGACAGTTCAGTTGGCGGGAGCCTGGCTCTGAAGGGCTGTCACAAGAGCGAGGATAGAAATGGAAGTTGCCCTTTGTCTGGAGCAGACTGCCCGGAGACGTGGCCGAGCTGCCTTGGCACATGCCCGTGCCTTCCTTGGAGCAGGTCTGACTCGTTCTGTGCAGCTTCCACAGCCACATGGGGCCATGAGATTGTAGACCACCACTGGGAGTGAAAGCTGTGTCATGGGCCTCCCCACTCTGGACACGTTGCCAGCTGAGTAGCCTGCCATGCTGGCTCCATCTTGCGTGGTCATCGTCACTGAGGATGAGCTGGGAAAACGATTTCAGCTGCGACAGGGACAAGACTGAGTATGCTGTGTGAGGTTTCAGTTCTGTTGAACAAGTGAAGACAACTTAGAAAAGTTGCAGAGAGGAAACACCCAGAGTTTGAGGGCTTGCAGTAGCTGGCAAGTGCAGTTGCGCTTGCTTGGTTTTCCTCCCGCCTGCTGGGACGAGCTTGTGCTACTGTGATTCGCGGCGCTCTCACCAAGCTCCGCGGTCTTCCGGGCCCTTTAGAGGGCGGGAACTAGCTGCATGGGTGGGCGCGCGGCTGTTTCAGACCAACCCCTTACCTTTTTCAGCTTCCACTAAGTTTCACTTAAACATTTTGAGCAACCGGCCACAGCAGTCGGTGCAGTGGGTAAGCTCGCAGTTGATGGCAGGGGCACCAGGTGAGGACAGCCAGCTGGCACGGGCACGCAGAAGCTGGGAAGCACAGGCGCGGCCGTGTTGCTCGCGTACAGTCCTCAGTGAGAACAGCAGCTGCATCCCACTGCCGCCTGGCTGCTGTGTGCGCCCCACAGCCATCATCTCACTGGCATTCCAGAGCGGACCTGTTGGTTTCAGGTATGTAAGTGACTCGGCAGAGGGAGTGCGGCAGACGCTGTGCCAGCTCTCCGCTCGGGAGGTGCCCGTGCACTTGGTTTCCTTAGACTGTCCTGGCGCGCTCCCCCCCACCCCGGCCCTTCTTCCTGGGCTTGGCCTCCGCTCTGCCGCTTGTGCTCCTCCCTAGCTAGGCTGAGTGGCTTCTCGGTTCTAGAACTCTCGTTGGTTCCCCCATTGCCCACAGAGTAAAATCCACTCTCCTGTGACACACGGCCCTCTGGGTTCTCCAGCTTCTGTTCACACCACTTCTGCCCACGCCAGCTCACTTCCAAAGCTCCCCCCCTTCTCTCCACACACAAGGCGAGGCACTGCTGCTCTGTTCCCTGGCACCGTTCTTCTCAGCCGCCATTGTCCTCACTGGCGCTTCCCCCAGATTCCCTCAGAGTCACTTCCTCTTCATGTGTCCACAGCCCTCTTCCATGTCTCCATGCTCCTGCACTTAGCGCCCTGAAACCGCCCCTGCCTGCCGAGCTGACCTCGAGTCCCCTCCCACACTTCCTCTCTGTCCATGTTTCCTCCCGAGCGCTTGCCTAGCTCTCTTCCTGTTTCGCTGCTTGCTCCTGCTGTGTGTGTGTGTGTGTGCATTTGCGTGCGCACGCACGCACAGGCCCGACCATACTTGCGGGCGGACCTGCAGCACTCGGCGAAGGCATGCTGCCAGGCATGCCAGAGAAGGGCTTCTGGCCTGGTGTCTACGGCCTTAGCCGGTGGTGAGTCCCATGGGCTCCCTGTGCCAAGCTGGCACTGTGTCCAATAGACAGTCGGTACTCAGTAAGTGTGCCGTCGGTGGGGGAACTCAGGTGAAGCCCAGCTCCTGGGTTCCTCACACACCTCAGAGGGCAATGGCTTAGCTTCCGCGGTCCAACCAAGCTCTGACCCTACTAAATCGCAACACCTCAAATCCTACTGTTGCTCGTGGGCTTTAGAAATCCCACCGCCACCAACCTTGAGGATGTTCAGGGCTCAGGCTTGCGCTGGGACCTATGCATGGCTCCTGGCTTCCAGAACCATTTCAGAGTGTGCGGGGCCCAGGCGCTGTGGCAGCACGGTAGCGTAGACAGACCCTCCATTCACCCCTACCCTCCTCTATTCCAGAAACGCTCAGTGAACGTTGTGGTGGAGCTAACGCCTTGCTTAGGGAGATACTCGCTAAGCAGAGCTGCAGCCTCTGGTAATGCAGCTTGAGCCATGAGTCACGGCGATGACTCATCACTGCTGATAGGGCTGAGGAGAGAATCCTGAGGTCATGGACACTGGTCCATGGAGAGAGTGAAAAGAGGAGTGGAGAAGAGAGAAGTGGCAGTTGGAGCAGTAGGAAAAGTACTGCCAGAAAAATCTCGAAGGAAGGGAGGATTTTACAGGTTGCAAGGTTCAGGTTTAGGTCTATGGGGGCCTTTGGGAGAACAGATTCTGTGGAGAATGAGTGTGCTTGAATAGCGCTTTGCTCCTTCCTTCTGCTGGAAGCTTCCCCACCTCCCTGGCCTCAACGTTCTATCCCTTCTGCTCTCCTTGCCTCTGTTACTTCTCCACAGTTGTCTGCTTGCAAAGCTACCCAGTTGCCCAGGCCAGCCCTGCACCAGCTCTGCCTGCTTGGCAAGGTAGGTAGGCCAGGGGCCTGGTTCAAAGGGCCCTTTCGGCTGGCCACGCCTCCTTCCTCCCTGGCTACTGCACTGCCCTGGTGGCCCAGAGGCCTGCCGTGCCATGGTTCTCCAGCACGTTCTCTCCCCAGTTCGCTCTTGTTTCTGTCAGCAGTGCTGCTTTTCTTCCACCCCCCATCTCTGCAGTGGTCTTCACATCTGCCCGTCCTTGTATCCCCCTGCCCTTCCCAGCCAGAGTGAAACCAGCTCCTAGGACCCTCGGGGAGCCTCCTAGACCCCCCCCCAGCAGCCTCTCCCCACTCCTTTCTTTCAGCACCCTAAGGTAGGCCCTGGGGCTCCCTCCTCTTCAGCTTCTATAACCACTGAACTGCCTTCCCGCCTCCAGGGGCCCGCCCTCACACTCTGGCGGAGGTGTCTCTCAGTGTCCAAGCCCCAAACAAGCCCTGTGCTTTTCCTCACTTCCTGCTTTCTCCACCTAGAGTACATGGCTGTCCCCACCTCGTCTCTACCGGTCACTCACTTTTAAAATTGATTTGTAAAATATTTAAGATCAAGTTTATAACGAACCCACAAACATCTGTGGCCCACTGCCCAGGTAAGAAGCAAACATCTGTGAGGGACCATCCCCCCGCCCCCCAAGGGA